GGTAGGGGGTGAAATAGACCCGATACAGGTTAAAATAGACCGAAGGGGATTGTAAGCACCCAAATATGCTTTATTGTATCCGGTTGAAATAGACTGAAGGGGATTGCAAGCACCCATATATGCTTGATTGTATCCAGTTGAAATAGACCGAAGGGGATTGCAAACACCCATATATGCTTGACTGTATCCGGTTGAAATAGACCGAAAGGGATTGCAAGCACCAAAATATGTTTGACTGTGGTATGGGTATTTTGGGGGAACCCACTAAGCTTTGTGCTTACAGTTTTTAATTTATGTTTCAAGTACTTCCAGCTCGAAAGGGAACGACCCGTCTGATCGCACTGCACCTACCTATGTTTTCCGTATCATGTGATTTTGGGATTTTGTACTTTTATAATATTTTATTATGATATACTCTCGACTGTTTTGTTATGATTATCGTATGATTGGAATGAATTTAAAAATGAAAATTTTATCTGAATTTTTGGGATGTTACAGTACTATCTTAAATCTTGTTGAATATTGGTGAAGTTTGGTTAGCGAGTCAGGTTATCAACTATACTAAAGATCACATGTAATTTAAAATACTAGTCGACGTCTTATGATTATTCTAGAGATTTTTCATATTATGAAAACAAACTATAAATATATGGTTAATAATAATATTATCTAATACATCTTTCGTAATACTAAACAATTATCTATAAATTGATGATTCGCCTTATTATGCAAATCGTTTTTATCAACTTTATTGATCAAAATGCATGCTCTACGAAAGATGTTGCAACGAGAAGATCAATGTTAATTTCAATAATAGATATATGTATTAGATATAATATATGTTTGTTTGCGGTTGACTTTCATCTTTGCAAGTTTCTAACTCCCTTTTAGTTCGTGCTTCAGACTTGAATTGAAATTTATAAACCCTTGTTTTCTGTTATTAATTATTATTTTCTATTTTCCTTACTTGTTTGTTCTAAATCTCTCATTTTTTTCATCATTCATCAGACATGATTTATTAGTTTAATCTCAAACACAATATCTCAAAACTCATAAACAATTATGTCTACGAGTTGGGACATGTTGTTTATGAGTTTTGACATATTGTTTATAATTTTGTTTACAAATTTTGACATATTTTGTTGACGAATTTGTTTATGAGTTTGGAGATAATTTTAATTCCAACGATGAAACCCAACTAATGGTTAAGATGTTAAATTCCACAAATGGGTCAGAGTTCATACCGAGACACCATCAAAATATTATTAGTGTTCCGCGACTGACTTCCGTAAAATGGGTTAACGTGATCTACTAAAATGATATGGACTTAGTAGCATTCATTGGTTCAAATCCAGTGGATTCCGATCGAAACGAACCAATCCAATCATCCATTGAATATTGGATTTTGTCAACCGATAAAATCCAATTTAGTATAAAAACCGAACCGAACCAATCCAATTGGATGTTGGATTGGATCAGTTTTTTTCATTTGATATTTTGATTGGTTTAATCCATTGGTTATTCATTATCTAACCAATTCTAATCTATTTCAATCAAATAACCAAATATAACTATGATAACTAAAAATAAAACCGCACATAATTACGGTAAATAAGACTAACAAAGCAACATTACTTCAAGTCTTCAACTTGATTTTTTGTAACATCCCAAAAACAATTGTAAAATTTTTCATTTTCAAAAACTCAAAAATACAACAAATTGTGTCAAATCAACCATAGTATAAAATGTTCTCAATCATCAGAGTAAAATCAAATGTCACTGCTAAATAAAATCAAGGGGATGTTGTGCGATCACGTTGGGCCCTTCCCTTTCAAACTAGAAGTACCTAAAAATGTTAAACCACAAAACCGTAAGCACAAATCAGTGGGCCCAAAATACCACATACCATACTAACCATTGGGCCCAATCATAGGGTATGTTTCAACCCAATACACATCAATGGGCCCAGCCCTAGGGTACGTATATTTCAACCCAATACACATCAGTGGACCCAACCCTGGGGTATATTTCAACCCATGTATACAATAGCGGACCCAGCCCTGGGATGTATTTCAACCCAAACATACATGCAAGAGTCACCAAGACAGCTAGCATCATATATAACACAATCCAGTGGGTCGACATTGGTGCCTTGAACCCACAAGTATAGTGAGAAGACTCACCTTGCTAATGAAGTCAAAAGTCAACGGCTCGTAGAATAGGAGACAGGTGCTAAACGCCACCTATATCACCACACACGATAAATACTTAGGCCATCTTTATAAAACTAGAAATTTGACTAAAAGTCAACGAGTCAAAAGTCAACCCTCAACGTCAACGGACAAAGCTAAGGTCAAAATTATCAACAACAATCCTCCATGTCGTGGGCACAAAATGGCAAGACAGTCGATGATTCCCCAGTCGCCACGCCGTGGGGACTGGTCTGAACAGTCTCATACGAGCTTAATCCATTTTCTTTCAATTTCAAGAGCTCCAAAGCTCATATCTGATCCTTTCCAAAGTCTTAATGAATTAAGTTTCCAACTTTATCCCTTAAGACATCCCTTTAAGTCTAGATCTAAATTTTAAGGTCCAAAAAAGGCAACTTAGTGCATGGGACTAGACCATTAAGCACTTAATCCATGAAATCTTCAATCCAAAACTTCCAGAAGCACTTTAAGGATCCTCCTGAACCCTAAAAATGTAAACTTTATGGACATACATACCCCATGCATGTCCTTTCCCATACTTACATCAAAGATGCAATAAAACCTAAACTTCAAGCAAAGTCTCCAAATCACCACCATTTCCTAGATCTGTGAGATATAATGCTCTTATGACATAGAGAAACCATAAAGTTGCAAACTTTATTTCTTCAACCCACTCAAACCACCTCAAAGGGACCATAATATGCCATAAACCCTAGATCTATGAGTAAATACAATAAAAGATGGAAACTTGAAGACTTACAAAGGGTCTAGAAGATGCACACAAGTGAATGCGAGGTTTGCTTGTTGAATTAATGCACTAAGTCTTCTTCTTCTTCCTTCAAAACCACCAAAACTTGCAAAAATGAGCACAAAAGCTTCCAAAAGAATTAGGGTTTGCAAATGACGTTTGAGGGTGATGGAGGATGAGAGTGGAGGAAATCCTAGCCTTAACTTCCTTTAAATAGGGCTTAAATTCCGGAGATTAGGATTTGACCCAAAATGGTCGTCATGTCGTGGCCACTTAATGTCATGGTGTGGCACCCAATTAAAATATGCGAATATAAATCAATTGGCCATGTCGTAGCAATCTAAATTTTCATATATAAATAAAATTCATATTTCGGGATCCGGATGTTATATTTTTATTGAATAATTAATAACATTAATAGGATTTAGATAATAATAATATTGGATATTTATTGGATTAAAATTGAATATCAAATTGGATCGGATCGGTTCGGTTATCCATTGGATTTTTAGGATGATCCAGTAACTGTTCCATTACAATTGGATTTTGAAATCTCGTATCCGAATCAATTTAATTGTAATTGGACATCCAATCCAATTGATCGGTTCGTAATTGGATCTGTCGGTTACAATTAGATCGATTAATTTCTACACATCTTATGGGTTACTATTCTTTTACATAATATTTTTTGAAAAAATTATGAAGATTCCTCTATAAAAACATTTTATTTTATTTTATGTCCATATAAACTCTCACAAGTCGCAAGTCTCTAACAAAAAGTAACACAAAAGTATAATATTATAATAATAAAAAATACAACTCGTTGTAATAAAAAAATTAATGAGTATTTTAATCACAACTAGAAAGGTTAACCCCGCTACGCGGGGGCCAGAAGCTTTCAATATTGTTTCCGAATCGATAAATATGACAGACGTAGAAAGTGCAAGGATGAAAAGTTTTGGCTTTGCCCCGGACCGTTTTTTTCATGTTCTTATGAAAAAATGTAAAAGTTTTGACTGCAAGGACCAGAAGTGTCAAAATGGCTAAAGAATTAAAGGGGTAGGAATTAGCAACCTTTTAGAAAATTGATCAAAGTTGTCAAACCGTTAAAGTTTTGTGGCCAAAATTTAAATATTAAAAGGTTCCTAAAAAGTGTAAAAATATTGATTGGAAGGACCAAAAGTATCAAAATGACTAAAGAATGAGGAGCAAAGTTGCCAAAAAAAACATCCAAATTTACTATTCATAACTTTGAAGCCCAACAATAATACAGCCCAACAATAATACAGGTACCAATTTTGGTCTTTGGATGGATACGAGGGAAGCATGCGTGCGTGAATCTTACTGGGGTCTCTCCTCTCGTTGGTTTGGGGAGCGGGGGTTTCACAGTTGGGCATGCCGCTTTGAAAGCCGCTGCGTGCAAAGTGGTAAAGCACGAGAATGCATGTATAGAAAATCAACATGTGTTTGTACCTTTTGCATTCGATACATTTGGTTTTCTCGCACCAGAGGCGGTGAAGCTCATCAATAGAGTCCAACGGGTTATGCATTCTAATGTCATATCTCCTATATCCACAAATGTAGTTTTCAAAAGAATTGTTTTTGCCATCCAAAAAGGGCTAGCGGCGCAGCTTGTTGTCCGTTTGCCTTCAATCGATATGTATTGAACCTTTAAAATATAAATAAATTATATATATATATATATATATATATATATATATATATATATATAATATATAACTGAGGATGAAGTGGTTGAGGACTTTGAAGCATATATATATATATATGCTTCAAAGTCCTCAACCACTTCATCCTCAGTTTTTTCTGCTAATTTTCCATTACGGATTAAAAAAATGGAGGGAAGTCCCCAAAAACATGCAAAACATTCCGGCTAGAATACAATCATGTCATACAAAGTAGTGCAAAAACACATGAAGATCTTAATGGAAGATATGTAAACGTCAATAGAGTGTTAATAATATTGCTTACAATGTTGATTAATAGATCGATATTTCAGATCAAACAAATTAGATTTTCAGAATTTAAAATGGTAATTTTTTATTCCCAATTCCATTGACATTGACGAAGAACCCTAGGAGATCTTTCTTATACGGTAGATACGATTTCATTTTTTCCCCTTTCTGTTCTGCTTTTTTTTGAACGTAAAATAGTTCATGAACTGATTGAGACGATGTCGTTTTCGATTTTCCGGGGACTTTCCGAACTTCGCCGGAGTTAATTCTCCGTTTCTGTTTTGGGGCGTCGATTTTCTTAGGACACAAGAATAATATCATATCCTTCCCTGCGCTGTTGCTCCAGCCGAAAATATCCTTAATTCTCCACCCTTTCGATCCAGATCCGGTAGATTTGCTCTTCTTACAGTCACCAAGAGCTGGCAATCCGCCGTCTGCCTTCCGCCATGACACACAGAATGTTCGAGAATTCCTATCTTCCAGTTCCTCCGCTCCCGACGATGAAGAAGACGGAGTATCATCGCTGTGATCGAGAAACAGATTTTCTACCGAAATGATTACAGAAGGATCATCATGAACTACTTCCTTTATTTCACGATCCACCTGGACCACCTCATCCATTGTCGTGAGATCTCTGTTGAAGATTGGAAAAGGTATCCGACCGGCTAGAGAAAGCTCGTTTGGTGAATATTCTTCGCCGGAGAAATCGAAGGAGAACTCGAAACCGTCTTCATCGCAATCGCTAAATTCCTGAAATTCAGCAGCATGTTCTTCTTCTATAGCCTCACAGCTCACTTTGGCTGCCGCCATGGACGTCAAACTATCGTTAGAATAGCAACTAAAGTTAGGAGAAAACCCTATATTATCCATTTTCGCCATTAGTTGCATTTTTATTCCTTTGGATCTTTGAAAGAATGGAGAAAGGGTTTGATTAGAAACTAGGGGCTTTCTGGTAGGAGGTATTTATAGGTGGTGGTGGTGACTGCCGTCTTTGGCGGGAGATTATTCCTTTTCTATAGAATGACATACTCATGCACTTGGAGACTGCTTGGAGACGTTATCAGTAACGTCACGCTCAAACCATTAATTGTACCATGTGCCGTGACCGTTGTACATAGGTTTATCTAGAAGAATTTAGCATTTTTTATAAAAAGAAGACAAAACTACAAAATTGGTCATTATGGTTTCGTAAAAACTGTTGATAAGGTCAAAAAGTTTCCGATTTGCATGGAAGATCCAAAAATAATAATTTCTTATGGTTTTAGTCCAAAATAACTTAAAATACAGTTATATTTATGCTCTTTTATTTATTTGTTGCATTTTTATAGTTATTTTATCATTATTTTAACATAAAAAAAAAAAAAAAAAATTATCAACCTACTTCACCGTTTTCTCTCTCTCTCTCTCTCTCATACACACACAAAGAGTACAAATTAAACAATCACCGTCTTCTTCTTTATCTTCTCCACCCATCTCATCCAAAAACCTAAAATATATAATCAAACCCACATGGTGACTGATACGATGATGACTCCAAATCCTCAATTTTTTTCTTCTTTCTATTTTCTCCCATTCCACGCCTACTGCAAGAATCGATTGTATGTGTATGTGACTGCATTGGGTTTGATTTCTTGGTCAGACAATTCATCGAACACATTGTGTGCATAAGTTGAGGCGCATAGGGGAAGTAGCTTCGTCCAACTCAATCTTTCCGTCAGCCTGAACTTGTAAAAGGATAACATGACGATGAACTCCTGTGAGGTCCAACCTGTTTCTAGCGGCTGTAGAATGAGTGTAAGGTGTTCTAGTAAAATCCAAGGCACTCACAACGTTGATTTATTTGTTACATCACCACGACAATGTTCATCAGAGGAAGAAGGCCACCAGATCTGTTCATCAGAGAGCCATAACACGGTCGCCATTGTTGTAACACCATTGACGATTTGATCGAGCCAAAACACTACCACGTTCGTTCATACAGATGGATTGAAAATCGATTCATACAGATGGATTTTTTGAGAAATCGATTTGATGGGTCGTTTATATAGATGGATTTTTTGAGATATCGATTCATGCTGATCAGAAGACGATTCATGGTTCACACTGAGAGAAGAGGTGGAGGGTAGTAAGGTGTTGTTTGTTTTTTCGAAGCGAAAATTTATGAAGTCTGTGGACCACCTCTGCAATCCTCTGTAGCAGAAGAGGTGGAACAAACGGCTGCAGCTTATAATAAGAAGCATGTTTGTTTTTTAACATCTGCAATAAACTGAAATCTAAATAAACTAATTTTATAAACTGAAAATAGTTCTCAACACCGAAATTTTAATAATTCTAGTCTTAAAACATTGAAAGAATACTAAAAAGAACATGTAAAAAACAAAAAATATAAAACTTTTTAAAAAAAACTTACAAAAATATAAAAGAAGCTAACAGTTTTATTCTAGAAAATAACTAATTTTAAAAAAAATAAAAAAAGAAAATAATAAAAAAAAAATTAAGAAAGTATTGCAAACGATGACTACAAAGTTCGTAAAAAATTACACACGTTAAAAAAGATGCAACTGAAACTGAAAATATTATTAACAGAAACGGTAAAAAAAGTTAAAAAAATCAAAGTTTTTTTTTAAAAAAAAATCAAGTTAAAAAAATTTGTGGCAACTATAAAAAGAAATTGTATCAAATCCGTAAATAAAAGTTAAAAAAAAAAAATCAAAGTTCTAAAAAAAAAGTTTAAAAAAAAAATAAGTTATACCAAAATTCTAAAAAAAAACACTTGGAAAAAATGAAAGCAGGTTTGAATAGGCAAGTCAAGTGCTGCGCCACGCAGCACACGCGCAGAGGTTTTGTAGTCTGAAGCTTTCCAAAAAACAAACTGATACGAGAGGGAAAGTGTTGCGTATGTGCTGCACCGCGCAGCAGAAAGTGGTTTGAAAATGTTTTTAAAAAAAAACAAACAACACATAAGCCATTGATAACGGTTGTGTTCCTTTTATTAGCTTGGAGAGAGAGAGAGAGAGAGAGAGAGAGAGAGAGAGAGAGAGAGAGAGAGAGAGAGAGAGAGAGAGAGAGAATGGGGGTTGGCTAATTTCTTTTTTTTTTTATTTCTTATTTTTAAATTAAAACAATGTTAAAATAAATATAAAAAATGGAAAAAATAAATTAAATGGGTAAAATCATCCTTTCAGGTTTTCCAGGGACCAAAACCACATGACTTTCTTAATTTTGGGAACAAAACCATAGAAAATTCCTGATTTTGGACCTTCGTTGTAAGTTGAAAACTTTTTGGATCATATACACAGTTTTTTGCAAACCACAAGGACAAATTTTATAGTTTTGTCAAAAGAGAAATTAATTATCATCCATGTTAAATGGTGTCAATGTAACACCTTGTTTTCATTTAATTATTCGATAAAGGATTATATGTTTAAATAAAATTAAATAAATAAGATTAATAATAATAATAATTAAGAAATGAGTACTTGAGGGATTTATAATCATTTCCATAAGAGGGGCTGAAATTTTCAAACTTGAAATCCTATGATGCAAAGATATTTGTTTTGAGGGATGGAAATTGTCATTATAGAAAGTTAAGGATGCAAGCTGAAAAATAAAAAATTTGAGTCATGTAATTGACGGGAATTATATGGGCTGGTCTCTTGGTCCCTACTCATCTTTATACAATACAATATAAGTTTTTTTAAGCCCAAAACCCCAAAGGAGATCGTGTATTGTGTATTGTGGGCGTGCATGTTTATTGCGTGCGGTGGTAGTAGAACCGAGAGAAGGAAGGCCGGGAATGAGAAAGGGGTTGAAGGGGGGTGCTCGAGTAAAGAGGAGAGAGACTTTTGGTGGGTCGATCTTGGTTTAAAGTAAGTTCTTAACCTCCTTGTTTCTTCCTCTTTCTTTTGTTCGTTCCCACCCTAGAACCATCATCACCACCGAGCCGCCGCCATGAACCGGTGGTTCACTACCATTGTATGACCACTAAAATGCTACCTCCCTATCGTAGTTGTGGTTTGTAGCCTTATGGATGTGAGGTGATGTTGATAATGCAAAACCCTAGTTGTGTTTCTCTTTATAACATCACACTTTGTATTTCTCTTTTTGACACCATACTTTGAGTTGGGTTTGAAGTGGTGATCATCTTTTTGACTCAATGCGATATGGATATTGTTAAGAACTTAATTTCCAGCATTTAGAGTCTATGGTTGATGACCTTTTGGGTTAAGATGCCAAATTAACCCAATAAGACAAAGCTGGGAAATTGATGAAAATGCATATTTTGCCCCTGTCTTTTAAAAATCGTAGAAAAATTATGGGAAAATATTTTTGGGTCGAGACCAGTGCACAAAGTTTCTAATTTGATTCTAATACATTCCATTAGCTTTGATCAAAATCCAGAAATGCCTCTAACTAAGGTAAAAATTTTGGGTCGAGACCAGTGCACAAAGTTTCTAATATGAGATGCTTTGATAAGACTTTATCTTGGCGTCTCAAACTTATACAGCTTTCCTTAGATAGCTCATATGTATGTCTAAACAATTTTAGAACTTATAGCAATAAGTCTCAAATGTTTAGACCCTTTGCCTTTTCTCACAATTCAAATCATGAAGAGAGATGTCGTAATCATAATTGAATTTGAGAATGCAAATATCACAACTGCTATCTTCTTAAAATCTACTTAGTGAAATCGTTTCCTCCATCATTTTCATGAATCGAAGAGAAACCTTATGAAACTTATATTTTATGGTGTATGTTTTCCTATCCATATGAATTTGTCATAACCACAACCATAAGACAAGGTTAGTGACAAATCCAAACTCATATGGACTGAACTTGTTCAATCTTAACTTCTTGCCACTTGGTAGCACAAGGGCCTACCATGACTTCCAAGTTGTCATGCAAACAATTGAGAACTCATAGAACTCACATGCATAGTTAACTTTTAACTGGAATGGGCACAGAAATAATAATATGTCAACACGATAGGTTATAAACCTCAAGTCGTGTGCTAGTGACAAACAAGAGGTTTTATTCTTGATTAGTTTTGGAATGAGATCCATGAACGCGACAAGACCATTGGAGAGCCCAAATGGCATCACCACGAACTCGTAATGTCCATAATGAGTCCGGAACGCAGTCTTCTCCACGTCATCCTCCCTAACCCTGACCTGATGGTACCCAGACCTCAGGTCTATCTTGGAGAACCAAGATGCTCCCTGCAACTGATCGAAAAGATCATCTATTCTGGGGAGTGGATAACGGTTCTTCACCATCAACTTGTTCAACTCCCGGTAGTCAATGCACATCCGGTGTGAACCATCCTTCTTCCTGACGAAGAGAATCGACGCTCACCACGGAGAACTGCTCGGACGAATGAACTGCTTGCCCAACAGGTCCTGTAGTTGTGATGACAGCTCCTACATCTCCGGTGGTGCCAACCGGTACGGTGCCTTGGAGATAGGGGCCGCACCTGGAACTAGGTCGATCCTAAACTCAACCTGCCTCTCCGGAGGCACTCCCGGTAACTCCTCCGGAAGCACGTCAAACAAACTCCCTGACCACTGGAACCTCTGATACTGAAACCTGATCCTTGACCCGCATATCCACCACATACGCTAGATAACCTGCACACCCATGTTGAATGTACTGTCGAGCCCTGGCAGCTGAACAAAACCTTGATCCCAATCTGGTGCCCTCACCATAGACAATCAGTTCTCCCCCACTTGGGGTTCGAACCACCACCCGCTGACCCTCGCACTCGATCATGGCACCGAAGCGACTAAGTTAGTCCATACCCACAATCGCAC